TTGGCAACGAACATCCAAGTATGGTAAAACAAAGCCAGCCCTTTGACCAGAAATGACGGCTGGCTGGGGATCCCTGCTCCATCTGCACCAGAAACTTCTATCGCTGCCTGCTGCATTTGCCCGCCCACCTGTGGACTTCTCAGCGGAAGCTTCTCAGCGGCATCCGCATGTGAGTCATAGTCAAAACCCGGTAGTAAAATGGTCTACCCAGAAACCTCCCTCAAACGTGGAAGCTCCCAAGTCTTTGGGGCAACTACCTTAGATATTTTGAGTGAATCATGTAAGTTTTTTCCTAGTTCTATCCGAAAGTGACGCCTTCACCCTTGATAGGTTCTCTTGGTGGGGATTCATCACTTTTGGAGGGTCTCCTCTATGATGATAAATAGGGGTCAACACCACATTGTTTGGCTGGAGCGCTTGCGTTGAATCTTTAAAACTGTACCCTGCGGTTCAAACGGCCATTAAAACAATGGTTGGATTTAAGTTCACCATTGTTTACCCTTCAAGATTGTCATCCAACTTGGGTCCCTTGGTTGACATTCTCTCAATGGGAATCAGTGGAACCCATTCAGGTGCATTTCTATCAAGAAGCAAAACCAGTCAAAAGGTAAATCCTAAGGGTTCAAGGCAGATCCCAGGGGTTCATTTGGCGACTCGACAGAGTTAGATCCTTTCTGAAGCCCTGGGAAGGTTCTTGGTACTTCGCCCGGAAAAGTCAGAAAAACTGGCAAGGTGTCAAAATGCGCTCGCAGCGAGCTCACCCCACGTGCAACAATTGGGGCCCCGAGGTCCCCGAGGCCCGTCCCGTGTCTTCCAACCAAAACCCGTCTGCCGAGAGTTCCGTCAGCTACTCAATCGCATTGGTGCGCAAAGAGGAAACAGCAGGAAAATTGGGGGATCATTGGAGCAGTGCCCAAGACCAATTGACCGATAGTTCTACTAAGATGGTCATAAAGGTTTGAATAGGCTTTGCCATAGCCCCGGTTAAACAAATGTTGACCCCAGATTCATAAAACCGTCCTATTGACAGGGGGGTGTACCTCCAATATTGGTCTGAATCCCCACTAAACCAGGGAGGGTGTTCCCCTATAAATAAACCGGGGCTTATTCATCTGGGGTTCCCATTGGGTAGTAGAGCCACCTACTCAAATGGCCCAGAGTTGCCTTTCAGGCACTGGGGGTTCCCATTTGCACCCGAAGCGAGTAAACCGTGCTTTCCCTTTGGGAAATCCCAACCTCCGCATTGTTTCAAACCCATCCCCCCCCCCCTTCCATATGTTATTTCCCCCTAACATGGGTGCTACCAGAGGGTTAATGGTATACAGCCACTATGTAAATGGCAAAAACCCAAAATTAACCCTGGGGGGCAGCGGTTTGGGGAGTAGTGGAACCCATCTTAGATTCCCTCCTTCGCCCCCATACCTTAAGTGCCTTGTATCCACACAGGGCACATGCACAAAGAGTGGTCCCGTCTGGGGGTATGTCCCACAGGCGTCGAAGGGATGGGCTTTTTCAAAGACACACCTTTTTTCGGCATGTACAAGGGTGTCCGTCCATTTCTCCAAGCAAAAAGCCCGGCAAGTGCCGGGTTCCCTCTTTTTCGGGAAGGAAAAGTACTCCAAACTTTGAAGACTTGGCAAAGTGATGCTGGCACCAGGAGAACAAAGAGTGATCAGGACGCCTCGACATGGTATCGTTGTCGCCGCGGACGTTGCGGGCCGTGCCTAGCACGACTCGAAGCACGGAAAGTACAACGGGAAGGTCTTGTTGGGTATGTGTCAAAATGCCCCCCCCCCAAAAAAAAAAAAGAAAGAAAAAGGATGGGGTTCGGTTCCCTTAAGCAGCAGGGTCGACCCCTTTGGGTAGGCCCTAGTGGGTTCCCTTTTCTTGTTGGGTTCCCTTAAAGGCAACAGGAGAATGGGGTGCCAACTGGAAAATAGTGCGCCAGCAAGAAAACACCAACCCAGTGGCATCTTCACATGGTGCAACACATATTCATCTTTGGCAGGTGAACCTGCAAGCCCTTTGCATCACAATTTTAACTGTTCCAGGGCTGCATCTTGAAAACCAAGGGCTGGATTGAACGCCCAAAAAAAGATATTCTTTCACATGAGGCACCCTGACAAATCGGCGTGTGTGTGTGTGTGTGTGTGTGTGTGTGTGTGTGTGCGTGTGCCCGCTGAATGGATCCTAAAACATGGATTCCTTTCGGATGTTACGCACATTGATTGTCTTTGGTGCAAGCCAAATAGAATCCGCTTATTAGAACCCATTGACGGGGTCCTCTTATCATCCACCTATTGTCCTGGATAATGCTCAAATGGAAACCAAAAGGATTTGGGTTCCCCTATTTTGAGACAAGCCCTGTTCCCCTCGAAACGCCATTGGCGCCAACGACTAAGTATCACAGTTGCGCACCTGGCTCTTGCAAGTGTACCAGGTCAATCTGGGTGGCTCGTCTTTCTTTGCTCCTTTTGGTGCCCCTTCAAAAAAAACACACACAAAAAAAACGAAACTACCCTCCAAGAAAGACCCACCCGTTTATGCTGGGGAGTCGTGTCACATCTTAGAGTGGGAACAACCTCCTCCATTTCCACACCCCACAGGAACCCCTTTGAACGAAAGTCCAAGGCTGCCACTCGATTGAAAAGTCGGAAATGCTCGCCATCTTGGCGTCCATCACCTCGCCTAGGGATGGACACGAGCACCCTTCCTCCCACTAACACTAGGCACCTGTGGGAGGGTACCTGGAAGATCGGTTTCCTGGAGGGGCACTTACCTGTCAGGTGCCATGTGGGAGAGAGGGTAGAGTTACCCTCCCTCTAAAATTCATGGAAGCTGACCGGAGGGTTTGGAAGACGATTGTGTCCCTTTCGGGGAAGGTCTCGGACTTCACATCCAGGATTGGAAAGAGGCTACTCCCCCGCAGATGAACGGAAGCAACACCCAAAAAGGTCCCGCATTTCGGAGATTCCGATCCTCAAATGATGGCTGCTTTGGCAAAACATATTCTTCTGCAGGAGGGAAATTACGTGAGATGGTAGAAAACACCCACCCGTGTTGGCCTCGTCATCCCAATTAAACGTGGAACCATGTCTGTGTGTGTGTTTCTCTGAACTTGTCTATATCAAGGTACACCCCCAACACACAAGAAGGCGGGCAAGACTCAGGACTCAGGGTCATACTGTGGAAGGACGAAATCCGTTCGCACCACTTCGATACCATGGTTGAAACTATAAATTGTTGTTGGTATTTACGTTGGGGCATCAAATCACTCCCCGGTTTCTGATTTCCGTGGTGCGAGTTCTGGATTTCGATCTCAACCATCCACGGCTTTTGGGGCTTCGGGCAGTCCTTGACCATAGGAGGACTGGCGTCCCCTATGAGTCGCCTCGTTGTCAGTGAGCATCACTGCTTCTCTGGGGGTAACTTCCATGTCCATTCTTTCCAGGGATCCGAATCTTTCTAGAAAACCAGCAAACACCCCGGGGAAATGGATCCGGTTTTTGACAAGAACGATGGCTGAAAAGAAGGGGGAATCAACCCCTCGAGCTTCACCGCAACTCCCCCCCAGAAGCGTCTTTCTCCTCTCCGCCCCATCTGGCCAAAAAGAACGGCAATTCACAAGCCTTCCTGGGTGAAATCGCTCGCACACGACCCCAAGAAAATGCTGAGCTCGTTTAAAGACATGCAAATACATGCAGATCTTTCGTCCACGCCTCGAGCAATGAGCCGAGCCTAACTTGAGCCAAAGAGACGCGTGAGACATGCGCTGGATCTGCAACTCTGGCTGGAAATTGGTGCCAGACCCCAGTCCCAGCGATACTTGTTGGGTACGTGGGTGTCTTTTGAGTTGGTACCCTTTCTGGGGTAAAAAAAGGGGAAACCTGAAGTGGAAAACCACGTGGAAATCAGAAATGCGGCCCTCATCCCCTACTTCCAGTCAAGCAAAAGGAGCCTCAGGAACCCATCGCTCAAAAATTCCCACTCTGAGATCTTGCAATGGCTCCCTCTGAATGAGTGTATGAACCAGGGGTGGGAAAACAGTCGATTGCACCCATTGGTTTGTTCCAAGTGCAGGTGGGTTAGGGGATGACTTTTTAGCACAGGATGGGGCCATCTTTCATCCGACTTGTGGTCACCCGTAGATCTTTTTGAGGATCGAACAATTAAACCAAAAACGCGTTAGACACCCCCAGCCAGTAGTCCTCGGGTTGCCATGAGCACTGCGCTCAAGTACCCCCGTATCTTCGTCATGCGACTGCGTTTTGTTTGGGTCGCCCTTCGCCAAAGATGTACGCCGCACTTGGGGTTCCTGGCTTTTCACACGAGGCCGACACCACCCTCATTTATCCTTGGTGACTCAAGAGGGGGCCTTCCCTCCAGTCGTCCGAGCCATTGAAAGGGGACACCTCCCCCCCTAAAAACCACCCAGCCGGGTTCGCAAATGCGAAATCCCCCACTGGCCGTTAAACGGCTGCTGGCTATGTACAAATTGTCATTAGGTGTTTTTCTTTGGTGAACATGTCTTATCAGGGAAATGTTTGATTCGCCAAGTTAGCAAGTGGTTGGCCACCTACGCCACTGAACGTTGAGTTCTTTAGTTTTATCATGGTGGTGTTCTGTTGGAAGTGGTTGGCTTACGTGCAATATTGAGTCGTCAGAACAGGGGGACTGAGACCCGCAAAGGACCTCCAAAAAAACCAGCCACGCCCACAAGAGTGTGGCTCTTTTTGAGTTGGTACCCCCTTTTGGTGGGATGCTTTTGTTGTCTTCTCTTTTTTTCCGGAAAACTCAAAGCAGAAGCGCTGCCCCATCTTGGAGGGTCCAAATCCTTGAAAAAAACGACTCCAGCCGCATACTCACGGCAGCATAGGTGTCCTTTTAGGGGGAATAGATGGGTTTCCCTGGTAGATGAGAAAACACCACCAGGTAAACGGCCATCTATTTGTCACCAAAACGGACACGCCATCTGCGCGGCATCCGTACCTCGCCCAGGCCTGAGCTCGCAACCTCGGCTTCCCGCCGCAGCACGGCGCCCAGATCCTCCTCCCCAGGCAAAGATGGGCCTGGCAGAGCAGAAAAAAAATGGAGCCATATGAGGAGGGGTTCTAGGTCCTCCAGATTTGAGAGGTTAGAATAAGTTGGTACCCTATGTGTTTTTCTGAATCGTCTATTTAGTAGGGGAACCATCCCACAAAAAAGGGTAAAAGGGCAGTACCGGGGGACCTAGGGTTAAATGAAGAGAGGTCTCCCTTTAACCTTTTAAAGGCCACACGAAATTTGATCAAAAGGTCCAATGGACATGGGGTGACGATTCGGCAAACCACCAAAAATGATTACTTTCACCACATGGGAAATGTGACCCAAGGTCATGTTGCGGGCCTAAATGGGACTTTGATCAACCCCAAAATGCTTTTCCGACGGCGGACAAAGCCCAGCAGGATTGGATGAGTTTCCAGGTTCTCATGCAGAAGCTTGATATAGAGGTGGGTTTGCATAGGCGCAGATCGTGGCTGTGGTTCCTTCCAGGCAAAAAGGACCAGGACGCCCGCCGCTGGCCTCGGCTTTCCCTTTGGCGTCCCGAAAGCATAAGCCATGGCTTCTTCGTGTCTTAGATACGCATGTAGCACATCAAGACATGCATGTGTGCATGTACTAATGAACATGCGCAAATCATGTGTATAATATATGCATATATATATATATATCCTATTAGTATATATATATATATATGCATGTATGAATGTATAGATTACAACTTAATTCGCTTGAACTTGTAGCGCAAAAGAGAAGGAGAGAAAAACCAGAAAGTCAAAACCACGTGTCGCTTGGCAACATGCAGGCGCAGGCAGCCGCGAGCCGCTCCTTTTCACCGGCCTGGCTCGGATTCCTTTTCGGGAAAAGCCATGGCTGTGATCCCCGGACTGGGCCGGGGTTCCGGGGGAGAAAGATCCAAAAAAGTGCGGCTCGCCTGTCCCATGTCGGCTGACCTTCTACAAATCGACGACTACCAATTCCTTGGGCCCCACTGCGATTCAAATGGGAGCAAAGTCTTGTTCAAGTGACTCTACCAACGCTTTTCGCCAGACTTTTTGACTTGAAAGATGCCCAACCCAAAATGCCCCACGGGACCAGGCGCGAGCGCGCTTGCGCTTCGGTCGCTTCGGTCGCTTCGGTCGCTTCGGTCGCTTTTCGCACCCCTCTTGGTGCCTCTCGGCTCATCGCCGGGCCTCCTCCAGAGCCTTGCGGATGCGGTCCACCGAGTCCTGCTCCTCGAACTCGACAATCAAAGCCCAAAAAGGGGGGAGGGGAGGGGGGGGGAAGGGGTGGGGGGGGTTCGGTTCTCCTTAGGGGTCCGAATCCAGTTTTTGAACCCTCCTTCCCCCCCAGAAAAAAAAATGAGAAAACATGGGGACAAAAAAGTGAGCCCTGCCTTTCAGCGTTTCTTTGTTGCGCGGAACAAAGAAAAAACACGGTCCTCCGCCAACTCGGCCTCCTGCTGCTTGGCCCAGTTCTTCATGCTCTCCTTCACGTCCTGGCCCGCCTTCTCGTACCTCGGGTGGGGGGATCGGAGTTGGGACCCCTCTTGGCTGTGGTTGTCAAGACCGTTGTGGGATCCCATTTTGGGCGATTCGGTGCACCACCCATTTTAGAACCGAGTTTAATGGGGATTGGGATGTTCGCTGGGGGTCCTTGATCCCTGTTGACACCCACGAATTTGTCCTTGGCGTTAAGACCCTTTCTGTTTCTGCCGCTTGCCAAGCTCAAGCGTGCTCTCAGCAGGGACCCCCTGCTGTTGGCAGGGAGAACATTCAGCCCACTTGAAGGAAATCATGGTTATAACCCACTGAACGCAGACTTATAACCATGGCTGATACGGATCTCACCAGGCTTACGATCACTTACCTGACGTACCCTGGCCACTTTGCTTTCGGGATATTTGACATCCGATCCGGGGGATCGGTAGAGCCCCTGCCCCGAAGGACCACCTCTGTTTAAGGGGAAACCGAATGGGAAACCCATGTTTTATGTGCCTGACCCGCACCGACTCCGAATGGAAACCGGAAACAGTGTTTGACGAATCGCTCCTCTGATCATTTAAGTTGGGTCCCAAGGCCATTCTTTTCATGGAGAGAAAACCCACCCCCAACCCGTTTTTTGTTTCTCTTCTTCCTTTCTTTTTGTCCTTTTGTGTTTTTTTTGGTTTGGGGGGGGGGGGGGGGGCGGAGCGTCCCGGTTCAAATCCTAAAGTGCACCACGCCCATGGATTCGACAGGCGAGGTGCTCCTTGTTCCAGGCGTCGAAGGCCTTCTCTGCGTCCTTCGGGTCCTCAAAGACGCCCAGCAGGTACCTGTTGCCGAAGGAATCGATGGCCTCCAGGGTTTGCCGTCTAGAAATGGGGGAAGGGGGCAGGGGAGGTGGTCGTTTTTTAAAGGGTACACTTTTCTTGGGGGGCGTTTAAAGGAAAGGTGCAGTTTTGAGGATCTAGCAGCAAATTTGGATACCCCCTGCTGCGCACGGCTCCCTCCCACCAGCAGGCCTGGTGGCAGCTGAATGAACTGAGCTGGGTTCCTGAACCTCCGAAACCCCCCAGCCTCAGACTTGTACAGCTTCTCAGCGGTACCCCAGTTGTGCTTGAACTCGCCCTCGACCGTCGCAGGCTCCTTCAGAAAGCTGGGCGGGGGAGGGGGAAAGAAAAGCCTCTGACGGCGTGACGCGGGAATCAAAGATGGACTACTTTGTCACAGTTTTCACGGAGTCCTTGCACTCGCACCAATGGTCACTAACCAACCTAAAACCCGCATGTTTGTCCAGAACCATGAAACAGGTCACTTTTTCAAGGGGGGGTCCCTTGGTATCCCAAACAATGGCAACCTAAAACCCCACAATTTTGCACAACCGTATTCTGTCAACCATCCCAAACATCAAGTCATCGATAGTGGCGTATAAGCGGAGTATATGTCTTGTTTTTATTTACTATGTGTTTTTGTTTGTCATGTTGAGGTGATTCAATGGTTTTGTCCAACATGTCCATATTTCAGCCCCAAATAGCATTGTGATATTGACTACGTGGGGTCTTGGTGTTTTGGGCCAACCTAAAAAAACCCAACAACGTTCAAATCCCAACCCAAAACCCCAGCAATTCCCCAACCCAAGCCCCTTGGGACCTCCCACGCATCGCTACTCCCGGCGCTCCTTGGCGAGGTCCGTCAACATTTCCTCGTCCAAAGGCGGCACGGGGCTGTCGGACCACTTGGGCAACTCCTTCCAGATCTGCTTCACCTCAGCCGAGCCGAAAAACCGAGCGTGCCGGGGGGTGCTTGGTAAGTGGCTCGTAAGCCTGGCTATAACCTACAGCAACAACCAACCGAACTCAGGAAAAACCGAGGGAGGAACAAGCGTCCCTACGGAAGAACCGAACCGAACCAGACCGAGGAAAAAAAGGCTGGGTCCTATGCCATTTTCCCAGGGAAAAGACCCTCAGTTGCCCAGTTAGTTTGGACCTGGAAATAAAGGGTGATCACTTCAGTGATCGCCTTTCGGGATCTTAATAAAGGTGCTTTGTTGGGCAAAATGGATGTGTTCTTCAACCCTTGCTTGTTTGCAGTGTTTGTTGTCTTCTGTGTTGCTCGCTGGTAGGAAACCCCGGCAGCTTTGCTCGTGATTCTTGCTCGTCTTTGCAGCCTAAACTAGCGTTTTCCAACACGTCAAGAGTTGCGTGGGTGTGGGAAAAAAATAGGTACCCAAAATGAAACCCTGTTTAAATGGGAATAAGGACCAACACCTGCAGTCCATATCCTACTGGTGAATAATTTTGAGCCATACCCATGTTGCCAGTGGCAAAACGGGCGGCTTCCCTTCAGCTAGGTCAAGGCGCAATGTCCGCCTTGGTCTTGCCTGGCATCTCCTTCTGAGAGCCGAAGAACTTCTTGAGCTGCGTCACCTCCTTCTCCACCTCCTGACGCGCCTCGTAGTACTCACCCACCTTGGTTGCTGCAAGGACCCCCCCCTGCAAAAAGTTGAACACTTCTTGGGGGGGTAGTGGAAAACCCCACTTGCTTTCAACCAAAAAGCTAAAAAGTCCAAAGATCCGTTACCCAATAGCAGTCAAGCCACCAGCTGCCCCAAGGTCTTCACCCACTCCTCCTGCAGCTCCCCGTTGGCGTAGGACTCCGCCTCCGACTCGCTGTGGTCCTTCTTGTAGGACTCCAGCTTCTCCTTGTACTGGTTGGCATAGTCGCCCAGCTTCTCGAATAGCACGCGGGGCATCATCACCTGGGTCGAAGGCCATTAGTGTAGTTTTTGTTGGACGCCAAAAGGGATTTCCTGGAGTCTCCATGACTGCTAAGGAATGGGTCCATATCCCTCTATTTTGGGTAATGACCCCATGGCATCATCACCTATGGGTCAAAATTAAACCACCGGGGGTTTCTATTCACTGCTTTCCTTCTTCACATGTTGATCAAATGATGTATTCACAATACTCTATGATCTTGCTTTCTTCAAAACCGCTGGTTTTAGTCCTTTCCATCTAGGAGGCTTCCAGTTTGGGTACCTTTGGATTTTTGACCCACAGCCATGTCAGGCAACCCTTAAGCTGGTGGCTTGGATTGCTAGTTTGGGGATTTGCAGCCTTGGAAACCAGCCTTGGCTGTGGGTTAAAAATAGGTACCCAAAATGAAACCCTCATGGAACCATGGACTAAAGCCTGCGGTCCATATCCTGCTTGAATTTCGACCCACACTTAGGAGGGTTCCAGTCTACCAATCTTTGACCCACGGCCTTGAAGTCCTCGCCGGCGGCCGGGATCGAGAAGTCCTTGAACATGGCCTGGGCGGCCCCCGGCGCTTTTTTTTTGCCTTTTTTTTTTTTTCGGACCCCCGCGAAAAGAAGTGACTCACCTACTTTCAGTGGGTGAAATTCGGAAACTTCCGCCTAAAAACCACCAAAAGGACACCTACTTTCAGGGCTGAAATTCGGAAACTTCCGCCTAAAAACCACCAAAAGGCGAGATGAAAAGCCAAGTTGAACCGGATGAAAAGCCAAGTTGAGCCGGATGCCTGGGAGAAAAGATCCAAAAAAGCTCAGAACCGGATTGCTAAAAGCTCGCCAAGCTGCGTCCAGGTCCTTGAAGCCCTTGGAGTCCTCCTTCAGCTTCTCGAGCGTCTTCACGTTGTTCTCGTGGTGCTCGGCGTCGTTGGCGATGGGAAACAGCTCCTCCAACGGCGAGCTGTCCGGGTACTCCTTGCCCTCCTTCTCCGCCATGGCCATCTTCCGGCTGGCAGTGGCCCAGCGGCGGTCGGCGTCGCGGTCGATCTCCACGGTCTCTGACTTCAAGCCGAAGTCGTAGCCCACCTGGCTGCGGTCAAAAATGGGCTAACCCCCAAATGGCTTGGTCTGGCAAAAGGAAACATGGACCAACATCTGCGGTCCATATCCTGGTGGTCTAATTCTGACCCATACCCACCTTGGTTGCTGCAAGAACCCCCCTGCAAAAAGTTGACCACTTTTGGGGGTTTAGTGGCAAACCCCACTTGACTTCAACCAAAAAGTCAAAGTCTACAGATCCGTTACCCAATAGCAGTCAAGCCACCAATCCGGCCCTCTTCTGCAAGGCCTGGTAGTCGGGGGCCCGCTGCGCCTCCTCCTTCTTGTAGTCCTCCCGCTCGTTGTCGAAGAACTTCTGGAGGACCTTGCCGAAGGCCGCGATCTTCTCCTGGTCCACCGTCTTCTTGAAGTCGTCGCCCGACCTTTGAGGCTTTGAAATTTTGAGGCTCCCTTTTCGAGCTGGTTTAGAAACAAAGACCCACAGCAAAGCTCGCAATTGGTAGGGCCCCCTTTGACACAAACACCCTGATCGCCTGGCCTGAGTCAAAAGCCGGTAGTAAAATAGTCGATCCAACCAGGCGGCGATCCGCAGCGATTTATGGCAAGGGGATTGTCCCAGACTAACCTTCATCTACCCGAATCGGTTTTGATTGTGCCTGACCTGAACTTCTTGTTGAACTCGTTCTGGGCCTGCTTCAGCAGCAGAGCCTGATCATCCTTGCTCAGGGTGTCCTGCAGCTTCAGAGGTGCAAACATGATGAAACCACGTCTCGAAAATCCTCCTCTTACTTGCCCAAATAACCTGGAAACGGGAGAGAAGGGCACCCTTTCGTTGCAAAACCTGGGAACCTTTGCGGAAAAACGGGTTGGCCAAACCCCCAAAAGCTCAGAGATCGAGGCACTGTGGGATAGGCGACATGTGCCAGGCCCGGAAGCAACAGGCGTTTGGAACCTCGACCAAAGAAAACAACCTGGGCAGATCGACCAAAGTTATTCAAAGCAACAAACATGTAGGGGACCTCCCCCAGAAAAGCAGGTGGCTTGCCCTTTGGGTTTTCTTGGAAGAAAAAAAAAGCCCGACAGTGGCTAAAAGCCAGTCTGGGTCGATCAATTCGCAGGCCATCCTTCCAGGCGTAGAAGTCATCCTTGAATCCCCGCATCGCCGTGCGCGAAGGCCGCGCAGTCGCAGTCGCCGGGGCCGAGACGAAGGACAGGGAGGCCTTCAGCAACACCACGGCGGACACGGCCAGAGCGGCCGGCAAGAGCTTGGGAGCCATTTTCAAAGTCAGAAATCGTAGGAGGCACCCCGGAGTTGAGCCAAAAATGGCTGAAGGTCAAAGAAGAATATCGGACATGTCGGGCCGACGGCATGGACTGATGAAGCCCAACAAGGCTAGGAGGCGTCAAAGTCAGGAAAGACTGAATGGATTGAAAGCACGCTGCAACTAAAAGTATGTTTTTTCATATTGGTAAGCACAAGGTTGATGAATCAAAGGGGTGATTTGATTGGCGGTTTGGGGTGGTTCCCATTTACCCTCCACAAAAGCCAGGAGTTCAAATCCCCTAACCACCAATCCAAACCACCAACCAAGTGCGAAGGCTTACCTGACACTGAGGTCAAGAACAAAAAAAGAAAAAATGGATTTGCGGCGGAGGCTGCCTGATCGAACGAAAAGACAAACAAACAAACAGATAGACAGAAAGGCAGGCAGGCAGGCAGGCAGGCAGGCAGGCAGGCAGGCAGGCAGGCAGGCGAGCAAGCAAGCAGGCAAGCAAGCAAGCAAGCAAGCAAGCAAGCAAGCAAGCAAGCAAGCAAGCAAGCAAAAAGCGCCAGCAAGCTGCATGAGTTCAAGCAACCCTTGCGGTGCGTCTGAAGCTTCCAGCTTCTCCCGACTCACACATCCAACCGAAACAGAAACGGAAACATCTGTTTTCAGTCTAAGATTGTTGCCGTCCCCAACCTCTACACCCAAGCTCCCCAAGGTGGAGGTAGCCCATACACCCCAACCCCCCCCCCCCCCTCGCTTCATTTTGTAACCAGCCAAAAAGGGGGCTCACTTGAGACCCAAAGCTTGATACTGCGGATGGACGAAATCCTGCAGCACCTAAGAAACCCAAGAATGATGAATGCCCTGTAAGTACCAACCAACGTTATGGTTTCAACCATGGTTTCATTGACCGAGGCGCGATTTCTGGATTTCGAATTCAACCGTCCGCAGGTATCACCCCTCCCATAGATGGCCTTTTGGAAACATAGATGGTCTTGGTACATGGAATAAAACCCATCTAAACAAGTGGAACCCATCTATTTAACCCAGCAAACCGATCCAAAGGACACCTATGGTCATAAATCCAACTCCCCAAACTCGCCCAAAAAAAAAACGTCTCTAGGAGCCCTTCCTTTCTGCCCGAAACCCGGGGGAGCCCCCCGCCGCCCAAAACACGTCGCGACGCGATGGGATCGCCTGCCAGGATGCCCCTGCTCCAGATCCAGAACTCCGAGTCGCAACCCCTGGATCCGAAGAGAGCTTCGAAATTCCACTCGGAGTCGTTCCCAGCTGGGAAAAACAATCCCCTCGCAGGAACCGTGTGTCCTTTCAGCTTCCTTTTGGCTTCCTTTCGGTTCTTGCTGGTGTCCTTTTAAGTTTAGGTTCTTGCTTCTGGTCTCCTTCTGGTTTCCTTCTGACTTCCCTCTGGTTTCTTCTGACTTCCTTCCGGTTTCCCAAAACAAAACGACCCCTGCAGCGTCTCAACGTCTCAACCCCTTCGCATCGCCTCCCCGGCCCTCCGAAGCTCGACCTCAGCTCCGGGCTCCGAGTCCGGGCCGAGCGCCAGCGCCTGGCAGACTGTGAGGTGCTCAGAGACGCCGAGGGGTTGGGTTTTTGGGGTTGCCATGTCCATGCGCTGAACCCAAAAATTCGAATCTTTCCAGAAAACCACCAAACAAATCGGGGGAAACAGCTGGTCATTGAAGGAAATGATGGTTAAAAAGAATAGGGAATCAACCCCTGGATGGCCCTGGTAGTTGATCGAACCCACCAGGTAAGCCAGGACACCTATGAGAGAGACGCCGACAGGGGTTCCAACTCCAACAACTATCACTGGGAGAAATAGACTCTGGGGTTCAGGCAGCCCACCAAAGAAAACATGGTTGGGTTCATATCTCACAGGGGGGGGGGGGTGCTTGAAAAAGGGAAAGAGAAGGCGGAGCCACATTTTGGGATCCTAGTTTGAGAAATGTATCTAAAAAGGAAAAAGGATACTTGAAGATTGTATCCTGGATTTCGCAATGTTAGGCATCTGTTGAGGCAGGTGGGTTGCGGACTTCTGAACCTTGGCAAAGTCCTGTTTCGCAAGACATCCTCAAAATGACCTCCGACATGGAGGTTTGAAGGCTAGGTCCTCCAGTAGAGAGGTTAGACTAAGGGTACCCTTTTCTCTGCAGTCTATTTTAGTAGGGGGAACTCTCCCCCACAAATAGTTGGTAAAAGGACACCTAGCTGAAGGACCTAGAAAGGAAACCCACGCCTCCAAAAGGCGCTTCCCTTCAGGCGCCCAGATTTGGGGCAAATGAGACACACCTCCTCCGGCCTGGGCCAAGAGGCTTCCCAAAGCGAGCCGCAT